AGACATGTCCAAAAAGGACAAGATGTTTTATTTCCTTGAGGGCCTCAAGCTTTAGGCCAAGATAGAACTACAAAGACCAAAAGTGCAGACGTGGCCACGGCTATGGTTGCAACTGAATGTCTCTATGATTATAACGATGGCTCTTCAAAATGGAAAAATCATCCATCAATTGGCACTAACTTCAACTTTGGGAGTAGAGGAAAGATGACTAGATTGGACTGACCCTTCAGTGGGGGATCAAACAGGAGGTCATTTGGTCGAGATAGCATCCAACCCAAGACAAACAATGTAATGATTTTCAAGCTTAGGCAACTACTAGCTTGCTTCCTATGCAAGGGGCAGCATTGGGTAACCGAATACCCACATAGAGGAGCCCTTAATGCCTTAAAAGCCTCCTCTCAAGAGTCCGTAAAAGCACTAAAGATCTTTAAAGAAGTTGAAGATGAGCCAACCAAGATGGGTTCAATAAGTTCCTCAATGCCTTCACACCCAATTGAACACAATAAAAAAAGAGCAGGGTAGAGACCTGATGTATGTGAACTTAATAATCAATGAGAAGGCCACCAGGGCCATGGTAGACACGGGTGTAACCGATACCTTCATCACACCAGAAGAAGCAAAAGGGTGTAGTCTTTAGGTTAGCAAGGACTATGGGCGAATGAAGGTGGTCAATTCGCTAGCCTTTGCGATCAGTGGAAACTCCAAGAGTGTGATGACCAAATTGAGGCCATGGAAAGGGAAGGTAGACTTTATAATTTCCCCCATGGATGACTTTGATGTCATCTTTGGATTGGACTTCATGATGTTGGCTCAGGTAATCCCTATCCTCACCGTTAGTTACCTGTTGTTCTTAGGGGAACACCTATGTGTGGTACCAGCCACCATCTTACCAAAGAATGGGAAAAAAATGATCTCAGCTTTATAGTTTAAAAAAGAGGTAAAGACAGGGGAACCCTCCTGTAATACCCCAACCCAAATAATAATTGGGCTAGACTAATACTAAAGTCCATTAGTTTATTAAGACATTATTTAGTAAAAGAAAAAGGGTTGAAGTATTAAATGAAAGAAAACCTAACTATCATGAAACAAAAAGGAAATAGAGTTCTTCTTCCTCATCTTTCTTAGGGTTAGAGAATATGAAAAATCAAGTTGGAGATTCACAATCAAAGGCTACAATCAAGTTAATCCCTTAAAGGTGAGAACATGACTTCTTTTTATTTAAAAAGAACTATCAAGTTGATTGCTATTATTTGGAGTTGAAGTTTTGAGAGCAAAACCAAGAAAAATCATGAAATCTTTCATTAATCTTCATGATCTATTTGGGTAAATTACTGGGCTTTGTTTATTTCATGTTCTTAAGATTTATTGATGATTATTGAATGGAGTTTGAAGGCTGAAAGTAAGGATTTGAGTTTTTAAAGATTGAAGGAAAAATTTTATTTTTGGATGAGATGTTGTGATCTGTAATAATGAATTAAAATAGAATTTTGTATTAATGGATAGATTATTGCTATAATTATTATATATCATTGGAAAGCATGTTGAATCTAGTTTCTAATGAAACAAACGAAAATCAAATCTGAGTTTTTTATGAAGAGTTGTCTAATTTTAACTTAAGGATATACAGGCTATAAGATAGCAGCATCAGGGTTGAATTACGAAATTCTTCTTAATTTGTATACAAGGATTTTAGCCATATATTTTTGGAAAGCTTATTGAGTCTACTTTCCAATGAAATAAGTGGAATTGAATTTGGAGTTTTTTGTGAATAAATATATAATTTTTATTAGAAGATATACAGGCTGTTTGGCAGCAGTATACAACGTGGACTTCAAAAATTGTTATAATTAATTTACAAGGAATTACGAGCTGTGTCATGTATGGTTAGAAAGTTTATCAAGTCTAGTTTCTAACGCATTAAAGAGATCATAATTCCGATTTGGATATATTGAGATATGACTATTTTAAGGAAAAGAGGTTAGGCTGCCAGTATTAATTAGTTAAGTTAATCCTTTGTGTAACTTAGTTGATTTTTGTATAAATGGTCTCAAAAAGGGTTGATTAAATTATGATCTATTGAAATTATCTTGGATAGGCCATTAATTATTTTGGGAGAAAAAACTAAGTGGTGGAATCGAACGGAGGTAAGTAGAATCTCACACATTTTGCTTGTTTTCGAATCTATGTATATAGATATGTTTCTAAATGAAAGAATGTTTTATTTCTTTATTTTCAATGTATGAAAATAGGATCAAGCATATGATTATTTTATGTTTATCTATATAAATGATGGATCATGCTTATGAATGAAATGAGAAAATGATTTATGTTTAAAGAACGATTTTGTGATGGCTACATTTTTACATCCCTGGAAAATGGGATCATCGACACCAGAACTAGTTCTATGACCCTGGCTAACGGGTAATAGTAGTTAGCAAAGACATGATCATACGACCCTACTAATGAGTAATAGTAGTTAGCATAAGGCCCTGGCTAACGGGTTATAATAGTTAGTAATGATCATGAGGATGAAATTGTCGATGCGGCCAATGTCACGGGTTATAGCAGTGACCATAGCTAACGTTAAACAATTGATAATGATGATTTATGATGATGATGTTTTACGATGATTTTTAATGATTGATCCATGATTTGGTTTGATTATGATATATGAATGATAGCATATTTTCCAATGATTTATGAGTGACATATTTTGACATTGATTTATGAATTTATGAAATATTTGACAAAACGATGATCTTGAAATGTTTTGATATTATGATTTGATGAATGTTTTGAATGATCTATATGATGTGTAAAAAAAAATGATGCTTGATCTAGTAAGGTGTGTGAGCCTATACTTACTGAGCTGTGGTTTGCTCATTCCCTTTTTACTTTTTCTTTACAGATGACTAAGTGATAAATTTGGTTAGTCTTGTGTGAAGCTAGAAGATGAAATGGGTAAGATTACTTAATCGTCAGAAAATATGTTGGCCAATGAGATTTTAAGAGGCAGTTTTATATTTGAATATATAAAGATGTATCATCAGTTGGATTAAAGATATGAATTTTACTTGGTAGATTATTTTATTGAAAAATTTTAGAATGTTTAAGAAAGAAGGCTTCGTATTGCTTTGAGATTTTTTTCAAGGTAATATGGTCGTGTTACGTCTTGATCTCAGGGCGTGACACCTCATTTGTGGCCATGTCAATTTACAATGAAGGGTTAGGAGTGGAACTAATACCCGATGACGTGGAAAAAGTGTTGGAAGAATTCGAAGAGGTGATGCCAGGGATGTTGCCAAAGGTTCTACCTCCTCGAAGAGTCGCGGACCATGAAATTGAACTCCTCCCAAGAGTTAAACCCCCTGCTAGAGCCCCTTATCGCATGGCCCCGCCAAAGTTGGCTAAACTAAGGAAACAGTTAGATGAACTTCTACAGGCCGAGTTCATTAGACCATCAAAAGCTCTTTTTGGAGTGTCAGTGCTATTTCAAAAGAAGCATGATGGAAGTTTGCGATTATGTGTTGACTACAAGACCCTGAACAAAGTCACCATGAAAAACAAATATCTCATCCCTTTTATAGTAGATTTGTTTGATCAACTAAATCGGGCCAAGTACTTTTTCAAATTGGACTTGAGATCTGGCTACCATCAGGTTAGAATCGTTGAGGGAGATGAGCCAAAGACCACTTGTGTAACACGGTATGGCGCATTTGAATTTCTTGTTATGCTCTTTGGACTGACCAATGCTCCTACCACATTTTGTACATTGACGAATCAGGTGTTCCATGACTATCTAGACAAATTTGTAGTCATCTATTTAGATGACATAGTGGTATATAGCTATACTCTGAAAGAACATTAAGAACACTTGCGCCAGGAGCTTCGAAGATTACAAGACAACCAGTTGTATGTGAAAAGTGAGAAATGTGCATTTGCTCAGACCCAAATCCACTTTCTTGATCACATTGTTGAACGTGGCCACATTCGAATGGACATGAAAAAGGTTAAGGCCATCAAGGAGTGGACAACACTGAAGAATGTTAGTGAACTTCACTCATTTTTGAGACTAGCCAACTATTATAAAAGGTTCATAGAAGGGTACTCTCGTAAGACTACTACCCTCATGGAGCTATTGAAAAAAAAGCATAAATGGTATTGGATAAGTGAGTGCCAAGAGGCCTTTGAGAGATTAAATGATGCTATTATGAAGGATCCCATCTTAGCTCTCCCTTATATTGAAAAGTCTTTCGAAGTTCAGATGGATGCATCTAATTTCGCTATTGGGGGAATGCTTTTACAACAACGTCACCCAATAGCATTTGAAAGTAGGAAGTTAAGTAAAGTTGAGAGGAAATATACGACCCAGAAAAAAGAGCTTTTGACAGTAGTTCACTACCTGAGGGCTTGGCGACATTATTTGTTGGGTTCACACTTTGTCGTAAAGACAGATAATGCGACTGTTAACCATTTCCTCACCCAACCAAAGCTTACAGCGAAATAAGCTAGATGGCAAGAATTTTTAATAGAGTTCAACTTTTGTTTTGAGCACACCGCTAGAAAGACCAATCAAGTGGTCGATGCATTGAGCAGACGAACAGAGTTAGCAACTCTTAGAAGAATTACCCCAATGGCGGCTAGCAAAGTCACGATAAATATTTCGTAATTTAATTAAAGATCATTTAGGGAAGGACCCGCGGGCCAGTGCCATCCTGAAGCTAGTTAAAGAAGGGAAGTCTAAGTACTTCTAGCAAGAAAATGAGGTCTTGTGGACCAAGGGGCCTCGATTGTTTGTGCTAAGAGCAGGAGGTCTGAGACAGATGCTGACGAGGGAATGTCATGACACATCATGGGTCGGACATCCAGGCTGGCAATGCATTTTGGCTTTATTGAAACATGGATACTATTAGCCTCACATGCGACAAGACGTGATGGACTATACAAAAACTTACCTCATTTGCCAACAAGACAAAGTTAAAAAAAAGAAACCTGGAAGCATGCTTGAACCACTATCGGTGCCTGCTAGATCGTGGGAAAGCATTTCTCTCAATTTCATTTCAGGCCTTCCCAAGGTTGGTGATCTTGAAGCTATTTTAGTGGTGATTGACTGTTTCTCTAAGTATGCCACATTCATCCCCACTCACAAGTATTGTACTACGAAAGTCACAGCTCGACTATTGTTTAAACATGTGGTCAAATACTGGGGCCTCCCTCAAAAATTGTAAGCGATAGAGATCCGAGATTCACAGGGTCCCTCTGGAGAGAACTTTTCAAGATATTGGGGTCCCAACTTAACATCTCCTCAAACTACCAGCCTCAAATCAACTGTCAAACAGAATGGTTCAATAGATTACTAGAGGAATACTTAAGGCACTTTGTTCAAACCAATCAGAAAAACTGGCCTTCGTTATTAGACGTTGCTCAGCTTTGCTTTAATTCCAACAAAAGCTCTTCCACTAACAAGAGCCTATTTAAAGTGGTTATCGGACAATTACCAAGGTTACCCTATACTTTCTTAGAGTAATATGGAGGGAAAAATCTGAGAGCCTTCAACCTCGGTAAGGAGTGGAAACAAAACACTGAGATTGCATAAGCCTACCTGGAGAAAGCATCGAAGCGAATAAAGAAATGGGTTGACAAAGGTCGTAGGGTGTAACAATTCCAAGTTAGTGATTTGGTTCTTGTTTGACTAGTCCTTGAATAAACTAGGTTCTTGAGAAAGAGAGATCGCAGATTAGTGCACAAATATAAGGGTCTAGTGAAGATCTTTTCTAAGGCAGGGAATGCTTCATACAAAATCGACCCACCAAAGTGGATGAAGGTGCACCTAGTATTGTGAACAACCTAAAATCTTTCCATGCAGATCCTATAGATGCTAGTCGAAGAAAGCCAACCAGAGCCGCCATCACCATGAAACCACCCTCAAAGCATCGAGTCGAAGAGATCTTAGCCGACAAGGAAACTAAGGTATCTCAAATACTAGTTTGTGAATACTTAATGAAATGAGAGGGATTAAGACTAGAAGAAACCAACTAGGAAAAGGAACATGACCTCCGGAGATTCAAGAGAAAGATTGAAAAATTTCAAGCCAGCAAGTTGATGAGGACGTCGATAGAATAAGTGGGGGAAGATATCATAAGCCAACCTTGTATAGGGTTATGACAAAGGCTTAGGTTGTCATGAGCCACCTATGTATAGGGCCATGACCAGGTAGATCTCTTGTGCTAGAAAAAGTATCCCCATTTCAAACATTGTAATAGTTAGTGGTAGCATAGCTCTAAAATCTCTAAGGCTCTTTAGGAAGGGTGAGGAGGCAACGTACTATTGGGTTGTCTCACTGGTCGCGATACAAGCCTAAGCCATCCACCAAAGGCTGTCCCCCTGGCCCTGGCAATGATGGGAAGTCCCGATATATTATCCTCGATTATAATAAAATTCACCTCCGATTCGAATGTCCCAAATGTTGCCTTGATGTGTTTTTCTTTTTTATCGATGTGAATGTGCCTTATTATGTGTGCTTGAGATTGATCTCGATATGAATGTATCTTATTGCGTACGCTTGGGACTAACTATAGCTTATGGTTATTTGTTCAGATATTAAACTATTGAAGGTTGACTTAAGTGGGAGCATCCATTCAAGTGTCACACGGTCTATTGCTTGTTGAGAAAAAGCCTAGTTCGTGACACGTGGCTTGATATGTGTATTGGTAAGGGAGGGTGTTTGGTTCTTGACTTTCAAGGAATATGGTGGCTGTAGGCTTAGGATTAGACTGTGGTGGATTGGCTCAAGTTGAGACTTAGGTCTTGCCATGATTTTGGTGTTTAGCTAATGGCAACTGTTCAAGGAAGATGTGGTGCACAATAGGTGTGGTGAATAGGTTCACATAGGTTTTTTTTTTGTCTATGAAAACTTTTTTCTTCTCATAGTTGTGTCTTCTGCTTTGCTATCAAGCCCTTTACCTTGTTTTATATGTATTAAAGTCTTTTTGTAGACTAAACTCTAATAGAAAGACATGGGAATTAAATTTTTTAAAACTTTTTTTAGTATCATTTTTGCTAATTTTGGGTTCTTGAGCTCTATATTGTTTTTGTCCAAGAGCTTAGAAGAATTTTATGTTAAGATGCGAAGGTGAAATAGGGGAGGTGAAAATGGGAATACTGAAAATGAGGTTAATAGTTTGGAGCAAAGAACATAGGAGAAGAAGAAAGATGATTGCCATGGTAGTTGACAATCAACTTTCTCTTTTTTATTATTATTTTTTATTTTTTAACTGATCAATTATAAAAAAATGCTTTGGGCTTAAAAAAAATGAAATTGGACTTTTTAAGCTTTGGGTTTTCAAGCCTATATGACCTAATTCTGAATTAATCCAAATTAAATTGAATCAGACGAGGTTCATGCAAAATTATCTTAAAAAATTGATTAATTTGAAACAAATCCAAACAAGTTCAATCTAATCAAAGCACATAATCTGGCCTGAATTGAAATGTTTAAACCAAGCACAAAAGTCGAGCAAACTTGAATCGAACCATAACAAATTGGTGTTTACAATTGCCACTTTTTTTCATATTATTAAGAATTGGCAATAATGCAAAAATATGGATAATAATTTTCTTTAAAGCCAATGATTCAAGTATTTTTTTTTCAAAAGTTTTTGTTACGCATTTTTTATTTTTTCGAATTTTTTGAACTTCTAATTTTTTTTGGATTTTCTTATTTTTTTAAATTTTTTTAAATTTTTTATGGATTTTTTAATATTTTAATTTTTGAATTCTTGAAAATTTCCTCTCATTAGAGGTTCCACAACTTTTAAAAATAAATTTAAAAGCTCATTTCATTAAAGGCTTACCAACTTTTGAAAATATAATACGGTAATTTGGAGATCATGTTCGGAGGTCTTACAAATCATTCTCGTCTTTGCCCAGAAGTCTTACAAATCATTTTCATCTTTGCCAGAAAGTCTTACAAATCATTCTTATATTTACTCAGAGATTTTAAGAATTATGCCCAGAGATCTTACAAATCCTAATGCTAATACAAACTCTACTTGGAAGACACTAATCTTGCCTGGAAGACTTAGAGACTATGCCCGGAGTTCTTACAAATCTTGATACTAAAACAAATTTAGCTTGAAAGACTTACAAAGCTTACCCAAAGACCTTAGAGATTATGCTTGAAGGTCTTATAAATCTCAATATCTATGAATGCTCTTCTAAAAAAAGGCTCTATAGCTTTAAAAATTTATAACATTTTGCCCAAAGAGTTATGAATTGTTCTCATCTTTGCCCAGAGATCTTAAAGATTATACCCAGAGGACTTACAAATCATTCCAATTTTTGCCTAGAGGTCTTAAAGACTAATTTCTCATCTCGATGCCTGAAGGTCTCAGGGGTAAATTTCTCATCTTGATGCCCAAAGGTCTTTAAAATTTTTTTGATTTTGAATATCTTAAAAGTTCTCAGTATTTTTTTCTTAAAAATGTTGTGAATTTACTTGCAAGACTTAGAAATTATGCGTAGAGGTCTTATAAATCTCAATATCTATGAATGTTCCTTTAAATAGAGGCTCCAAAACTTTTGAAAATCGCATCATTTTTCATTTGCCAAATCATCTTATCATCAAGGTCAAAGCCATTTTTCAAAACAGTTCCTTTCGAGTTTGAAACTCTTTCCATTTCAAAATTCTTATCTCATCATTTTTTATCAAGAAATTTTCTTTCTAATCTTTCAATCTCTTAATATTTCATCCTTCAAATTTCATTTTCATTTTTTCTTTTTAATCCCTTCTTTCAAAAATTTCTTTTTCACTAACATTTTAAATTCTAGAGAGACAAATTTTTGCTTTCATCTTTTTTCCAAAGTTTACAAATTTATGATTGCAATGATCAACCGCAATGATGCAAATGTAAATCTATAAATGTCCATTTCAATAATGTAAATGCAAATGACCTTACCAAGATGCAAAAGCAAATGCACTCTACAAAACTATAAATCTAACCATTAAGTTTCTTTTTGCTGCAACCCAAATTGGTTAGGCTTTCCGAAATGAGGTCTTAAAATCTGTCTTTGAATCTGAGAAATATGGGGATGCGATTTTTTGTGTCTTTTAGAAATTGCTGCAAATGTGCTGCTCGAATTTTTCTAACTAAAATTTCCTCTATCTCCTGCTATACACCGGTGTTTCTCGGTTTATTGCTCTTGGCTATTAAGATTGATGTCCTCAGTAATTCACACTGAATTATGTAACGTGGGAGAGATCCAATCTGACGATACAATATCTATATGTACAGATATCCACTGGCCAAGGGCTTCTGAGGGTTCGAGAATTCACTCTGGCAGAGATTGATCAGCAGTTTGTTGATCCTGAAGACAAATCTCATCCAAAATACTCTGAAGTTGTGCACTTGGAATTCCTGATGTTTCCAAGGGAAGAGCAAATATCTGGCCAATCTACAAAGAAAATACGTCTTGGTCTGTTTCAAAGGTTGGTGTAAGCTTGACCATTCCTTTTTTGCTATTTGCATCTCCCTTCCTACCCTTTTGTGATCGTGCTGTGATTCATTGCTGTCTAGGGAATTATCAACAATGAAACCCTTGCCTACTTTATTGGCAGAGTTAATCTCTTCCTAACTCACCTTAGTATAGACAAAGACCATTTACGGTTCAAGCAGCATCTTCCGAATGAAATGGCCCATTATGCTGCAGACTGTTGGGATGCTGAGATCTATTGTTGGATTGAATGTGTTGGTATTGCAGATAGGTCTGCTTATGATTTACAACTCACTCGGTTAGATCTTGGCCTATGTCTTCATATTATCTTTCTTTTCTTGGTTAAGGTGATCATTGTGAAATATCTTAATAGCAGAATTTATTAGGTTAAGCTGGTCAGCTTAGCTGTATTTAGGAGTTTTAGATATTAAAAGGAACAAAGTTACGACTTACGACTGATTTTATCAAAAAAAATCTGGTTCTTATCCATTCTACCGTTGGACTTTTTAGCTATATATGTTTATGAGTAATCTGATACATGAAGTGCTATTAGAAGCCAGATGAAACAGGAAATGAAAGATTAATGTTGTACTTTCTTTTCTACCTAAATACAATATACTAAATAGTTATACTCATTCAGCATCATTTTGTTTTTTATGTTAGGACAAAGGTGGTGTCCCGCTTGTGGCTGCTGAGAAGTTTTCGGAACCTAGAGAAGTGGAGGTATGTTTGCTGATTACCCCCATTGTTGCCATATATTAGGCTAATGTTAGGATCACATGACTTATAAGTTTATAAGGCAACAAAAGATTATTAAAGTGCTACTGCTTAAGGCAATAAATAAATTGACTCGTTCATTTATTCAGAAACTGGTTATAGCTCCTGTGAAGAACTTGGCCTGGCATTCAAAGGAAACCAAAAAAATGTCGTTGACGCCTTGGAGGTAAATGATAAAATTTTTTTGCTATTTAATATTTCATGCATGTGCTGGCTGCCCATATGACTTTAATGCGTGAATTTCCCTTTTTGTTAGGCACTGAATGAAAAAGAAGCTCTGGAAATGAAGGCTGCTTTGGAATCCAAAGGAGAGGTGGAATTCTATATCTACACTCCTGGGAAAAATGTGCCCATTAAAAAGAACATGGTCTCAATTTTAAAGGAGAAAAAGAAAGAACACCAGAGAGTTTTTACGCTGTCTGTGATTGAACCATCCTTTGGAATTGGGTGGATGACTTATTGCCTCTTTGAGCCCTCTTTCTACACAAGCCCAAGTAAAGCTGGGAATGAGCAGTTGAATGTTTTCCGGCTTCCTCCTCTTGTGGCACCGTTTAAATGTACGGTATTTCCACTGGTTCAAAATCAACAATATGAGGTTGTTGCCAAAGTTCTAAGTCGTTGACGGCTGCTGGCATCTCACATAAGATAGTCATCACTGGTATGCGACTAACATGAATGATGACTCTTTAATTTTACTTGCGTTGTCCTGCATATGCATGCATAGAATCTTAAGCACTCAATTCATTTCTTTTCATTTATATCAGTGTTTTCCTTAAGCCTCTTTCTTTTGCTTGTTCAGAACAATTTTACTGGCAAATAAAAAGTTTTTAAAAATTTTCAGCAAGTAAACTGAAAAATTAGATCTCCATTGACATATTTGACTTCAACTTATGTATGCAACTGTAGCATTGTTTTTACAATTGTAGAGCCAGGCATTTCCATCCTTTCAGAATTAATTTATTTACGAACTTTGAACTTCCAACTCATCCCGTTTCCCTTCTTGATATTTACAGGTACATCTATAGGTAAAAGGTATGCAAGAACAGAGGAACTTGGTGTACCGCTTGCCATAACTGTTGATTCAACGAGAGACGTGACAATCCGGCCGAGAGACAACAAGCTTCAATTCCGTTTTTGTGTGGAAGAGGCAGCCTCTGTTGTTAAGTCTGTTACTGATGGGCAGATAACATGGGAGGATGTGTGGCAAATTTTCCCCATCAGTATTGTGGGTCAGCATATGACCGAGTCTTAAGAAATTCCAGCAAAATGATGTTGATCTCACAATTTTCATGATGATTTCAAGGGTGATTGCAGTATTGAAAAATCCGAATTTACATTTTGTTCCCAAGAATATGTTCACGTTTCTGAAATGCTGCTACTTGCTTTTACATACCAATTTGAATACTTATACCTTCCTCGACTTAATACTGCATGTTCAGCTTATAGTTACAGTGTTAAAGGATTTTCCATTTTGGCAGAAATATATTTTAATTTATTTGAATTTATATAATTATCCTTAAAATATAACATCTAATAATTTTGAGTTTAAATTACAGTATTTATAATTCCTCCACTTATTTTCGTGTTACAATCTATTTTATAAAATATATATATAGTATAATCTACCACTGGGAACGAGTAACGCCTCCTTTATTTAACCGGTTCAATTTCTTTTATTCAATGTTATAATAGTTGGTTGGATGAAGATTTAACCGGCTGGATGTTCGATATTTTTTTATTTAATCCGTCCAAGACTTTGGCACGACAAAACTCGCCTAGACCTAATTACGTGGAATACGTGCCCCTCCCCGGCCGCCACGTCTATGAGAGTTGAGAGTTGTGAAAACGAGGAAGCCTCCTAAACTCGTTATTCGGCTGCAAAACGACAGCATAGCATTTGAACACATTCAATGCATAAAAGGACTTGTCCTTTTGTCTCTGTTTGAAAATTCATAAATAAATATGATAAATTGTATTTTCGTATTATGTTTTATATTATATTTAATATATACAATAATATAAATTATTAAAATATAAATACAATTTGAATTAAAAATTATATTTAAATCTTAGATATGAAAATAATATATTTTGTTTTCGACATAATTAATATGATATAATTAATTTATTTAAATATAATACGATTAAATACGAATAATATAGATATATAAAAATAGATACTAACATAAATATACATCAAAAATACTACTAAAATAATAAATAATTATAAATTATCTATTATTTACAACTTATAAGTTACAATTTAAAAAAAAAAAAGGAGGAATAATTCATTTCTTCATTCAACGAATGTTTGTACAGTCTTCCATAATAGCATTAGAAATATACTCAGAGTATTCCCCAATCCAGACAATGCTCTCTACAGCTTCTAAACTTTTCTTGGCCAGTAAATGCACTGCTGTGCTGCCTTTCCTTTGAGTATGTTTTACAAAGCAGACTTGCAATTGTTCCATTTTGTCCTTCGATTCCTCTGTGAGCAACCCCCACTGGTGATAGATCTGCGGTCAGTGACTTAATGAGGTTCAAAGCATTTCCTTCAAGTGTTATCTTCCTCAATCCCAGCTCGGTCGCGAAGGTTAATACCAGAGGAGCTGCTTAGGCTTCTGCATGGAACGGGCCACCTACGTCTGATACGGGAAACAAGGCTGCAGCTAATACTGCTCCCGTACAATCTCGTACAATGACACCTGCACCTCCCTTCTTGGATTGTGTATTTACTGCTGCAACAAAGTTTACTTTCACTGTCCCATCCCTGGGTGCCGTCCACTTCACCTCCACGTTTTGCTGTGCCATGGTTGGTGACTGGGCTGCTTTGATCTCCTCTTTATATTTCCCAGCAAATCTCACCAGCTCTTGTATACTTCTTTTACGTCCTTCATGCAGTACATTATTTCGCTCATTCCAAATAGTCCATGCAGTAATCACGCAACTAATTAAATCTTCTTTACTAGCTGTTGTGCATATCTGTTGGACCCACGTTTCACTTGAGGTATTGTTTGCTTGCTCTGTTTGGTCAATGTGCATTGCTTCCCAGACGCCCTTAGCCTCGTGACAGGTTCTAATTGCATGCATTACTGTTTCCTCTTCCAACCCAAACATGAAACATATCTTATTAACCTCAATCTTCCTTCTATGTAAGTTCGTCATTACCGAGATAAAGCCATGGTAGATTCTCCACATCAAAACTTTAATTTTGCTTTGGACTTCTGCCATTCAGACTGCATTCCATATCTTTGCGTTGTTTAAAACAGGTCCAGTTGGTGAAAAACCTTCATCACTGCACCTCTGTTTTAGCAACTTGTACCCGCTTTTAACCGTGTAAATTCCTTTGTGGTGGTAGTGCCAAACTAATTGGTTTTTTGCCCCGAGTTTTGAGAGTGGGATAGAGCAGATGGAGTCAACTCCTGAAGCTAAGAAAACCTGATGAATTAATTCTTTTCTCCATATCATGGTTGAGTTATCAATCAGTTCTTCAACCAAACTTTTTTCATCCAGATGTTGCCTTGTTGATTGAAAAAATTAAGGGTTTGTTGCCAGTATCCATTTATCTTTCTAGATTTTGACCACACACCTCTTCCCTATCCTTCATCGTAGTCCTCTATCCAGCACTTCTTGGGCTGTCCAATTACTTTTCCAAGTGTAGGAAGGGTTGCTCCCTAGCCGTGCCTCCATGAAAGTACGGTGTGGGAAATACCTTGCTTTAAGTACGTACAAGGCTTTCTTCATTTATTAACAGCCTCCATCCTTGTTTTCCAAGCATTGCTTTGTAAAAGAGTTCCATTTCCCGAGAGCCCATTCCCCCACGAGATTTGGTGATACACATATTTCCCTATTTTGTCTAGTGAATACCCCTTGATCCTTCTCGACTCCGCCTCCAATACCTTGTAATAATTCCGTCAAGCTCTTGGCATAAACCACTGGGTAGCATGAAACAGTTCATACTGTAAGGCGGTATTGCCTGAAAAACAGCTTTGATGAAAATCTCCTTGCCTTCAAAGGATAACTTCCTATGACACCACCCTTGAATCCTCGATCGGATCCTATCCTTCATTTCTCGAAAGTCTCTCTTCCGTCCTCGACCAACAATGGCAGGTAAACCAAGGTATTTCTCCGAACTCTTTGTTGCCTCAATGCTGAACATGTTTGTTATTACCTCCTTTTGTTGGTTATCTGTGTTTCCACTAAAAAATAAAATTGATTTCTCGTAATTTATTTTCTAGCCCAAAACTTGTTCATATAGCTTCAGCATGTCCCTGAACCTTTCGCCTTCGCTTCCATTCGCCTTAGCAAAATGTATGTTGTCATCCGAAAAAAATAGGTGAGTGATTTGAGGTCCCTTTCGGCCCGAATTCCCTGTATCAATCCATCTACTTGGTCTCTGTTAAGTATTATGGATAGTCCTTCACAACAAAACAGGAATAGATAAGATGACAGAGGGTCCCCTTGTCGAAGCCATTTACAACAATCGAATAGGAGGCAGTGCTAACACAATGCATAATAAAGGAGATCCAGCTTAGTTTAAAACCTACTCTGTGCATTATTTGTTCCAAAAAAACTCCATTCAACCCTATCATAGGCCTTACTCATGTCTAGTTTTTGTGCAAATTGGCCAACTCGACTTGACCTCTTGTGTTTCATGGAATGGAGTAATTCATATGCCACCAAAATATTGTCAGTTATTAGGCGTCCCGGAATGAAACACTCTGGTTTTCATTGATACAATGGGTAGGACAATTTTGAGCCTATTTACAATTTTGCAATAATTTTATAAATCACATTACAGAGGGTAATTAGCCTAAACTAGGTCAGCTTCCTTGGTTGCTTTGTTTTTGGGATCAGGATGATATTGGTGTGGTTAATTTCTCTAACATCGCCATTTCCATTTAAGACATGTAACATAAATCAATCACATCACTACCTACAATATGCCAAAATTTTTGAAAGAAATGGGCAAGCATACCATCCAGTCCTGGTGTTTTGGTGAGGTGCATTTTTTTTAGTGCTGTGAAATCTCCTCAGCTTTGAACTCTGCTAGAAGGAAGTCATTCATCTCATCAGAGACTCAATTTCCTATTGCTTCAAAAATTTCACCAGCTTGGCTCTGTCCTGAGGATTGAAATAGTTGTTTAAAATAACTAGTGGCTATTTTTTGAATTCCTTCCTCAGATTCACACAATTCTCCCCCCTCATCATCTAGTCTCTTTATCACATTTGTTCTCTTTGTCGGGTTACTTTGGCATGGAAAAAAACCTATGTTTCGATCCCCTTCTTTAAGCCAATCCACCTTGGATCTCTGAGCCCAGAAAATTTCTTCCCGTTTCTAGTGCCCTGTTTAGCTCCTGTCTAATCTGTCTTCCCTTGCTTAAGTTTTCTGCATCGGCCACTCCCTCCGTTACAGCGTCAAGTTCTCTAGTGACTGTAACTATCTCGTCGTGCAAACTCTTGTAACGTTGAACATGCCATCTTCCAAGTCGTTTACCCGTGGCTTTTATTTTTCCCATGACAGTTCCTACATGTAAACTATCCCCACATTTCCACGCATCCTATACCTTTTGTTCACAATCATTCTCTTTGCCAAAAAAGCTTTAAACAAGAACCTTCTTTTTTTCCTTTTTCCTAGTCTTACTGGTCGCCTTCTTTCTGTGTTTAACATGATCAGGCTATGGTCTGATACAGGCGACGTGAGATGTTGAACTGTGTACATGGGAATCCTTTCCCACCACTGCTGGTTTGCCATTCCTCTATCTAGCCTTTCCCACACATTGTTATTAGGTGCAATTGAAACCCAAGTTTTCCAAACCAGCTTCTCCTACTGCTTCGCTGAAATCCTTCATCTATTTTTCATTCCTAAGACACTATCCTGTTTTCTCATGGGACCACATTATTTCGTTGAAATCTCCTAGGCATAGCCATGCCATTGTAGATTGAGAGGCCAGATTTTGGATTAGGTCCCAAGAGTTCGCCCTCGTTCTTATATCAGGCTCCCATTGAAACCTGTGATTCTCTAGCTATCATTTTCACCATTCCCCTCCACTACCATATCAATATGACTTTTTGAAAAACTTCTAAGATTGAAGCTAATCTCTGTATTCTACAGCATGGCTAAGCCCCTAATTGTTCCTGATGAGTTAACACCAAAGCACGCATTGAAACCACATATTTTCTTTATTCTCTCTAACTTACTTTCATGTAGTTTTGTTTTTGAGAAAAACTACATGGGGCTCTTTTCTTTCA